GACTACGGCCCGTTTGAATGTGGCCTCACCGAATTTCATAATCGTAAGTCTCATTCTTTTCAAAGAGATTGGCAATTAAAACATACCTGGCAAAATATTTTTTGATAACATTATGAAACCTCTGCAATAAAATGAAAAATTTGCAAGCGTTGCGTTAGTGGAATGATTCTCCACTGTACGAAAACGTACCATAATGAATTCTGCTAAGTTTTTATATCATGAGGAAAATGCGTTGAAATAGCTGCTCGCTTTAAGCATTTGCACTTTTTCCCTCGCGACGAAATTTGGTATTTCAGAAAATTGTCTTCCCTGTAGCAATTTTGATGCGATTTACCATTTTATTTCTCAAACTGTTAAATTCCTGATGTCATCTTGTTCCCGCCTATTTCTGATTGCTTAAAATAAAATTTTCTGACTAACAGTCCCGTCTCCACCAGCAGACGAGAGTTTGTCGCCATACAGATGCTTATGGAAACACCGCAGTTTCAAAATTGTGATTCCCTCCTTTGAATAGTTTGCTGGTAAAAGCGCTTCGAATAAAAAATTTTCCCGCGCTTTTGTCAGTCGTTATTTCCATTTACACTTATTTTTTCGAAGGTGCAATTTGAATAAAGGCGCTTCATTGATGAATATCTCTTTTTTCGAGAGAGTCTGTTATGTCGTAGCAACACAAATGAGATGGAAATTCATTTATTTGACTGCTGTGGTATGGTCTTATAATATATCCAGTAATGTAGAGTGCTGCGCAGAAACATTTGCGTCAGCCGGGATTCGAACCAGATCTCACTCTTTCCAGGAGCGTGCGCTGAACCGTTGCACCACCGAAGCTCGTTTGTACAGCACTCCACAAATGAGATGATCAGAGCTCAATTTAAGCCGTGATACCTCAGGTATTGGCATATTCGATGGAACTTTTTTGATGATCGACTTTATGTACTTCCTTGTCATTCAGTAAGTGGCAAACAATTCTCCTTGTTAACCGAAATCCATCTGTTAGCGATTACCACGATGTGCTATAGAAGTTATAGAGAATCCGGTTTTATTCAAAGCACTAATACTCCTAATACGCCTTGATAAGTTACAGAGTCACGGGAACGGCTTGACCTGTCTTCAGCAACAATCGAGTGCAGAGCTGCGAATCCTTTGCTGTCTTAGGAATGATCATATGCAATTAATATAACATTGTTCTCACTCAAGGTACGCAACGTTTGATAAGTTTTTTAGAAGCCAGCAACAGTAATTATACAAACATGGCAAGATTTTCGACCGGCCTCTTGTGATTTTAATGGTAACGATCACGGCAGGGTTGACATCTGAAGTGAGACCATCAGGTCAAGGTAATGAATAGAGAACTATTATGGTGGTGCAATTTTGAAATATTGATTATAAAATTGTGAGCGTTAGTTTAAGTAAATTTATCGAACGCTTCAGCATTATTAGACAGCTTTTGTAATTCAGGCTTTGTAATGAAAGGACCTTCTATTTTCATTGAAAATCAAGGTTTATTCCGCAGAGCAAATTGATTTTTCATCATTTACCGTAAACTACGATGTCTCGTTGCAGCGAACACTAGAAGCTTTACCGCCACCGGATTCACTTTGCCTGTTAACATTGTTTACAGTACTGAAGCCGCTGTTCGTGTAAAGAATTTTGGCATTGCAGCAAGCAAGGACGTAGCCCAACTATTTCTCCCACGTTTTGTAATGCAGATAACAAACGTAAAACTCTTTTCTTGTTCTGCAAATTTTGAAAGAAGTAGGCAGTAATTTTTCGTTTTCCGAATTTTTTTAACAAGTGAAAACTTCTCTTTTTAGGTTTCTGATGTTCTCGAGCAGCAAAGTCGTGCTCTCTTCCCTGACCGTGTAATCTCGACTATCATGGGTCAACTTACAATCCAGATCAGATATGAACCACTAGGATGCGAAGAAGTAGAAAAAAATCTAGTCATGAAATGTAGGTTCTCAAATTTTGCATCATTTGTTGAGCGTTATTTATAACATGCAAAAGCACCAAGAAGAGCGACATTTTCTTCAATTTCTTTACGAAAATCGTAACCTTTGTCGTACACGGTGGTGGCCTAATTCAGTTATGGTGACGTCGCTAGGGTCCATTTCAAATGCCGTAATTCTGAGATCATTATAATTCAGAATGCAGAAGGCTGATGTTAGTCATGAACACGTCCGCCATCGTTTGAACAGCCGTTCAAAAGACTTACACCCACTAAAAGATTCTATTCTTTTTTTGTCCATCTGTCACTTGTTCTCCTATCTATGTGACTAGCCTATATATGTTTCGCTAACGGTGTACATTTTCCCGGTCCGGAAATGAGATGATTTCGCAGTTCGCTAACTAATTATGGCTAGACGTTGCATGTTTCAGAGCGATTCCGTGACAAATTGCTCAAGCACTCTGTAAGCAGTGCACAGACTTATCAACGTGATTGAAACATTAGTCCATGTCTTATATAAACATCAGGTAGCTGGGAAACCCTGACTAAATCAAAGCTTAAGTGCAAGTTTTGTGTCCGTTTTGCTTGGTGGATTCCTTGAGAAGAGTGAGGAAGTGAGTCACTGCTGCTCCTTTTCTGCCTGCATCCTCTTTAATATAGTTTCTTCATGTTCAGTGAAGATCTTAGATACAAGTACGAATCGGTATCTGTAATCGTGAAACTACAGTTCGAATCACTTCTTCTTCCTAGAGAATCTTCATTATCTACGTATCTGTCCTACTTATGCGCAGTTACAATCTTCATTTCCTTGAGATCAATATCAATGTGAAGTGTCAATGCTTGAAAAAGAAGTAACTTACAGTCTAAGCAGTTATGAAAAAAACCACGCTGCGTAGTCGTAGGCAACACGGTGCCAGCCTTATGCAGTGCACCGAGAATCATGGAGGTGGTCCTAAATATGAGACATAAATATCGAGAACCATAAGCCGTCAAATACAGGTAATCTTAGGATACTTATCAAGATTTGAATAGCTTTTGAGTTTTTTCTAGACTCCGTTTTTAGAAAGAAACTCTCCCTAGACTGCAAACGTCGTCATGATGAATTGGTCAAGAGGGTTGCTGGCAAAGTGTAGTAGAGAGAGCTGTTAGAATGTTAGCAACGGGTCCGTTTGGATCGTGCTTCTACGACGGCATTTGCAAGCATCAGCTGAACTGCGCAGTCAACTGTGAAGTGTTCTAAAGCTATACTATTGTATCCGAAATTCTGCCTACTTCAACCTAGAAAGTGAATGAAGTGCTTAGGCCACAATAATGAATTTATGTGCAAGGGTAAAGTTGAGTTCATAATGCGATGCACCGCGCGAACAAATTTTCGTAGTCGTCCTTGATTAAACTCCCTTCAAGAATAAGGTATAGTAGAGCTTAAAAGTGCGATGAGCTCGTACGTCCACTCTTGCTTGATTAGAAACTTTGCTTTTGAATTCAAAAGAAATGGTAATCTCTGTATAATAAGATCTTTTTATCACTATGAAAACTTTCACAGAAACATAACTCGAAATACTTTCCGTTGCAGCAGAAATGGCAATTGTGAAGGACAAAAGCGGCTGTAAGCAGATGAATCGAAAATAAAAAGCAATGATTATATACTGGTTCATCACCTCTTCTTTCTGCATTCATATATAAAACGTACGCCTTGCAAAGCACATGTTTCGAACAGTTATTAGCATAGTTTGAAAGCTTGGTCTTCTTTGAACCTCGGCATTGATAATTAACATGTGAGTATTCCAAAATTTTTAGTATTTTACTACATCTTTCGCAGTGTTACGGAATAGCTACATAGAGATGTTGAAGAATGACTGGTGGCGCAAATGTGCCTCGGTGGTGTACTGCTAGAGCATGAGTCTCCGGATAGGATATTCGCGGGTTCGATTCCCTGCTGAGGCCGTGTATTTGCTCGCCACTCAATTCTTTCAGAAATATAATATATGAGTCTCAAAGCAATGAGTATATGCAGGGTAAAAAGGAAAATTTTGGATCCTCAGACATGAACTGGATAACAGCCTTTTCTATTGAGTTACCCACAACTTTCGGGCTATTGCTTCATTTAATCTTTTCCAGTTCAATCGATTTATTACAAAGGGGTGTGCAATGTCAGAGATTGTTCTAATTACACTCGGATGCAGCTGCAGCCCATCTCTCACTATCCGATTGAGACTGCCCACCGCAAAGTGATGTTTATATGGATATCTCTTGCATTGATCGACTACGACCCTGTTGCTCGCGTAACCATTTGTGATAATCTTCTGGCACAAACAAGATTTTGTCAAGTTGATTTACTAATTTATAAGAATCCTGAATCTACAGCGAGAGCAACAAGCGCCATGCCTACTGGCTGCCTCGCGATAAAGAATGCCACCTTATCACAAAGCTCAGATTTCATGTATGGAATATTATACTCTCGCCTTTTGGGAATCGGCAGAGGATGCTGATCTGGAAACTGCTCGACATCAAGCAGACAATCATCGTTGAAGTCTATGAAGAATAGCTTTGAAAATTAACCTCAGCAGTAAGAGAGAAATGTCTGGAACGACCCAGTATTCTTCTTCTGCAAAAAAAAGAACTTTTAAGCACACATTGCAAGGGCAACTCGCCACGTTTTGAAAAAAGTGGACTGGATGACGCTACGACGTACACCACTCGGTTCTGATATAGTTCTTTCGGCCTACCATATCTCCCGCTCTCCGAAGCAGTGTTTGCGAAGAAAATATCTAAAGACTCAAGGATTCCGAAGAGAATTAAGTGGCAAGGAAAGATTCGACCTCAGAAGAGAGTTGATCGCGCGATTTATCCTTGTCGGTGACGCATGCTACCACTACACCTATCCGCCAACCACTAACAGGTTTAGTCGAGTAAGCAATAACGCTTTATAAACCTAGCTAAGCCGACAGCCATTGTACTTATATAATTCCAAGACTTCTATGTTTTTCACTGCTTTTCGCATTGTTATGAAGTTCCAGATATTATCAAGAGAACTGAGTGGTGAGCACAAATTCGACCTCAGACAGGAGTTGAACCTGTGTTTCATCCATAACGAGGACGCGTGCTACCACTATACCACCCATGTCGCCGCTTACTCATCACTCATAGCTATGATAGAAAGATATTGAAGGATGAGAAGTACAAACGTCTGCCAGCTTAAACTGGGTTTATATAGATATCGCTTCCCCAACCAAACTTGTTTACGGTTGGCGGCTGATGGCTATGATAGAAAAATTTTTAAAAATGTGAAGTACAATTGCTGTCAGCTTGACTGGTTTTTACAGAGCAATATTGCTTGTCCGATCAGATCTGTTGATGCCTAATGGCTGACATCTATGATAGAAAGATACTGAAAAATGAGTAGTGAGCAAGCGGTAGCCTTGGGGGTGCAGTTGTAGCACGTGTCCTCGTTTCAGATGGAAGCATGTTCAGCTTCCGTCTGAAGTCTAATTTTCGCTTGCCACTCGATTCTCTTAGAAGTATTTGAGTCGTTATAACACTGTAAAAGAGCAATACAAAACATAAGAAATATCTCATGACAACTACCAGCTCAGAAGTGACCTCACCGACTTCTTTGATCGCCCACCTCATTCTTTCCGGGAAAGCATGCAATATTCGCCTAGAAAATGGCTGCAGTTCATTGGTCACACTGGTGATTATACTGTTGATTGGTTGTTTTTTTCAAATAAATAACAGTAAATCAACAAAAGTGCTAAATGCCAAAGAAATCATGGGGAAACCTGATGTGAAGTTCGCTGGAACGCAAGAGATGTAGTAATACGAGAGACTTGAGTCCGTATTGTAGATTAATGTTGTGGTGACACATTGAAATATGTTGCGTTGAGAATATAATTTGTTACGCGGACTCTCTAGTAGATGCACCAAACCAAAATATTCAAACCTTCATATGCATGAGTACTTCACTACAACGGCGAAGTATAGAAATGGCGGTAATGACCAATAACCGCAGTAAGAAATCATATAATCAATAAGAAGACGGCTACTTGTATTAAAAAAATACATTCATATGCATCACAGAAAGAGAACGTTTTGCAGAGCGAAAGTCAATCACAAAGAGAGCGAATTGAGAGCGAACATGAACCACTATCATTGCTTGTTGTGTTAACTGCGACAGCTTAGTCATCGATAATTATCCTGCGTAATATTCACCTTTCACTTGCCGTCCCGCTGATCGTCGAGTGACTCGAGTGGGTACCAGCAACTCTTCCATTTTTCCTTATTTCGTGCAAGAGTAGCCCAATGGGTCCTCCTCGCTCAAGGGATTCGCTGAGCATCATATCTTTCTTCTATCGCTTTCGTGAAGAATCGTACTAAAGGGTCGGTGGTCTTCCTGTTGAGCGCTTGATGTCCCGAGGAATCCAGTCGGTAACGGCTCTCGTCCATCGGTTGTCGTTGAAGCGCATCACGTGCCCGGCCCACCTTATTTTCAATGTCCTGGCGTGTGGAACGGCGTCTCTGATTTTCGATCGTTGACGTAGGTTGGAAATTCGGACCCTTTCTCTCATTTGCAAGATACGGGATACTCCTAGCATCGACCTTTCGACTGCGCGTTCGATAACGGCAAGTGATCTTTCATCCTGCTTACGTAGCGACCAGGATTCTGCTGCATACGTCAGGGCAGGGATAATTATCGAGTCGAAAAGGTGGGTACGGAGTCGGATGTTCTTGTCCTCTTCACTACATCTTCGATGCTCTTAAACGTTCCCCAAGCCGCTCGTTTCCTCCTGCTCAATTCTGGAGCTAGGTCGTTCATCATGTCTATTTCACGAACTAGATAGACGTAACTGGAGCATTCGGAGATTGTCGTTCCGTTGAGCGTGAATGGGGCATTAGAAACCCATCCGTTCCTCATGAACATTGTTTTCGTTAGATTCAGTTGTAGACCAACCTTTCCACAGGCGTTATCGAAATTGGTCAACATTCGTTCCGCTTGGCTGATGTTTGGTGTTATGAGAACGATATCCTCAGCAAAGGGAGGATGGTTCAATCGTCGACCGTCAATTTTCACTCCCATTTCGTCCCATTCTGATGTTCGCATGACGTTTTGTTGGGTGGCAGTGAATAGTTTTGGCGAAATTGTATTGCCTTGTCTACCCCCCTTCTTACGTCAATGGTGATATTGTTGTAGAATGGAGATATTTTGGTCGTAAAATCTTTATAAAGCTCACGAAGGATCATTATGTACCGAATAGGGACGCTCTGGTTATCCAGAGCCTCCATAACCGCTTCTGTTTCCACTGAATCAAAGGATTTCTTCAGATCGATAAAGTGAGACAGAGTGGTTGTTTGTACTCTCGTGAAACTTCAGTGAGTCTTGTGATCGTGTGGATATGGTCTATGGTGCTAAATCCTTTTCGGAACCCATGCAGGTCCTTCGTCCAGTGTTCTGTCAATCCTGTTTAGGATGACTCGAGTGAAGAGCTTGTAGACAACGGACAGCAAGCAGATTGGAGCGATAATTGCCTATGTCGTGAAGGTCTCCCTTTTTGAACAACAATGCGATCTTGCTGGTTTTCCATTGAATAGGGACCTTGCATTCTGACAGGTAGCGAGTGAAGAGCCGAGCCAGGGTGTTGATGAGAACAGGCGGCAGGTTCTTCAGGTGTTCTGGTCTAATCCTGTCTGGACCGGGTGTTGTTCCGCTTTTCACCGACGATATAGCATGTCGGATTTCGGAAGGGAGGACCGGTGGAACGACATATTCGTCCTCTTTCAATTTATATGACGGTAGGAGGACATGGCTAGCGAAGATATCCAAGTAGTATTGGTGGATGATTTTCTCCATAGCCCTTCTCGAAGCTGTAAGTGTCCCGTCAGGGTGTCGGAGTGCAATCATCTTGGTCTTATAGATGGCGAAGCCTCGCTGGGCTTTGCGAATGCTCTTCCCAGCTTCTGGAGCTTTTACCATAACTGCTGCTCTTCTCTCTTTAAGGTCTTCTTTTATCGCTTCTCTGCATCGTTTCGCAAGTTCGAACGTAAAGTTTTGGTTGCCTGCATCTCGTGCGATTCCACGTTGACGTATCAGCTCGAGTGTCTGCGGAGACAAGCGTCTCTCCGTGACCTTAGCTCTCTCGGCTTTTATAGCGCTAGCGTGAAGATATTCAACGACTCGATCGTATTCTTCGTCGATGTTGTCGACAACGGTATCTTCCCAAGAGCCGACTAATGATTTGAATAGATCCCAGTTTATGGTAGCTCTTGGACTTCGTTGTTTGAATTTAGCGGCTTTCTCTCCTCTCCTCGAAAATCGGAAACGTTGCACGAAGGAGGCGACGGTCTGATCCCGTGAAGAACTTAGGAACAACAGCGACGTCGGTCAGGCAAAATCTTCGATTTACTATGATGTGATCTATTTCGTTATGGTACTCTCCATTGGGAGACTCCCACGTCCATCGCTGAGAAAGAGGCTCTTGGAATTGCGAGTTACCATGGATGGTTTGAGTCGTCATGATAAACTCAGACAGTCTCTCACCCTGTTTATTCCATTCTAGTCCGTGTGTCCCTATGTGACGTTCTTCAGACGTTCTTTTAGGTCCAGTTTTTGGTTAAGATCTCCAACAATGACCTTGAAGAATGTATGATCTTCTTTGAAGAATTTTTCGAGGTCCATATAGAACGCTTCGACTTCGTCTTCGTCGTAGCTTGATGTCGGTACGTAAGCAACGAAGATTGTCAAAGCCGGCATAGAACCACATCGTTTCAACCGTAATCGTCCGATACGGGTTGTTAGTTGTTCGAACGAATCAATGTTCACGGTCAAATTCGATTTGACGGGGACGCCAACGCCGCCGACACCTCTGCGATCGCATGTTCTAAGGAACAGTTCTTCTCCGGTGTCATAGACAGCGTGAAAAGAATGGCGCCTTCTCGTCTCAGCCAGGCCAATGACGTCGTACCTTATTCTTCTTGCTTGAATCAACAGATCTTCTACAGCGGATTGGTGAGCAAGAGTTCTTGCGTTGTAGGTACAGTCGTCATTTTAGTCCGTTTCGATCTTGGCAGCCTAGTTCGGCTCTGAGATTCTAGCAGCCTCTCCGTACTCGTCCTACCTGGCGCTGCCGTACCAGGGGCTCTTTCGGGGTCAGGGGAATGAGGCCCATATTTGTTGCTGTTTTTGGCATTTCGATACCCAACGTATAGCTTGCCAGGCTCTAAACGTGGGGGCTGGGTACTCACGAGTAGCTTGCCAGTCTCTCTCGGAGGAGCGGGAGGAGCTTATTTGTTGGAGGCGACTCCTAACCGCCTCCATGTACTTCCCAGCCGCTTGATTGCAGGCTTTTGGCCGACTTGACTCGTAGAAATAGAGTTTTTGTCAAGTCGGCGCTGCAGAAGCAGGGAGCTCACCTCTGAATCCACCTGCCTCTCTGGGAAGCACACGATCGCTTTTGGTTCGCGTTTTATTCCCCTATCCACCACCTGGGGACGCGCCACGTGCACTCGCGACTAACCGGGCGGGATCCCTCAAAGAGGGAGGTCCGTGGCGTGATATTACTCTCTCAAAAAAGCTAGCTAGTTAGCACAAAGTTTGTTTAATGTGATGGCTGAAGAAGTGTTTTGGAGCTGAGCTTTTTTTGACCAGTTTGCAGCAAGTGGTCTAGGATTTATAAAGGAAAACCAACTATTCACCCTTCTTGGATCTATGTGCTACATTTTTTAAAAATTTCATCTCATCTTTTCTGGCCCTTTCCACGAGGTAAAGATGTCATCGCTATCGTATTTTGTATGATGTTCTACTGCCAGACATGTTTAAGTCTGAGGCAACTGTTTCACGGATCCGTTGCTACTTTTCTAGCAGTGGTAGGACGACCCACGACCAGTTTCTCAACAACCATATCGCGGCAGCAGCCTTAAGGGTCGTGACAGCGGCGGGTCAACTCCAAATAGGTCTGTTTGACACGCCATTGGGAAGGTGTTCTAGCCCTGTATACATGTACTCGTCCTTAGTCATCCCAATATATAATCACCCACTGCTTCCCACCTTCGGTATCCTGCCTTTCCAGGGCAAGCATAATCTCACCCCGGGGTTTGCAGCCTAGTCAAGCCCCGCATCTCGTCTCTCAGTGTATCGGTTCGTTCTCAACAGTCTATTGTTGTCGTCACACTGATCGATACGCTGTCATGATGTACATGTTACTGGTTATGTACCCATTATGAAGATATATATTTATATATATTTATAATATATAAAAAAAGCTCTCGGCGTTGATCAATCCCTGAGGGATGCGCCATGCATTCGACTTCAATTTTTGACTTCGTTTAAAGTGACTGAGTGGATATCTGGCCTTTACAATGACTCGCGGTGGCCTCCCGCTGAACCGAGTCAGTGCTGCCTATCCCTCCCAGACAAGTCTGAGACCTGCCTGGTACCATATATATTATATATATCTATATTATATATATATATATATATATATATAATATTAAATAATAATATTATAATAATAAATATATATATAATATAATAATAATATAATATATAATAATAATATAATATAATATAATAATATAATATATAATAATAATATACTATATAATAATAATATAATATATAATATATAATTAATAATATATAATGTATAATATAATATATAATATATAATATATAATATATTATAGATAATATATAATATATTATATATTGTATTATTATATATATTATATATTATAATATATAATATATAATATAATATAATAATATAATATATATATAATATATATATAATATAATATATAATATAATAATAATATAATATATAATTATATTATTATATAATAATATTATTAATATTATTATTATATATATAATATATAATATTTATATATATATATTATAATATATTATTATATATATATATATACATTATATATATAATGTATATTATAATAATATATAATAAATAATATATAATAATATATATATATAATATATAATATATTATAATAATATATAATAATATTATAATATATATAATATATATAATATAAATATATATATAATATAATATATATACATGTATTCCAGATTACTGTTCATATAGATTAATTCCATCGTTCAATCGTTCTCTATGTTCCTTGTACTATTTGATAAAGGATTATATCTTCGAGCTCATCCACAGCTCTAAGACATGTGTGGTCCTCAAGCGAGACAGTCGGGGCACTCAGCAGATAGCTCTCACTACAGTACACGTTCAACTTGCGGGGGTTGGGAGATCGGAGCACTGAGAAGAAAGCCCCCACTACGGGACAAAGTTCCTCTCAACTCAAAAGACATATTGCGTAGCTACCACCGATAGTTCTCTCAACCAGCACATCAATGTGTAATATATGTGCCCAAAGAATGTCAACAGCAAGACGCTTAGGAACAATCGACAGCAGAGGAAACTCCACACCATTTACTTTGCGAGAGAGTCTCTTCTGCTTTCATCCTGGCTGGGGAATTTCATTGTTTGTGGGCAGGTAGAATTCACTTTCCATCTCGAGTCGTAGTAAGATCAGCAAAAAGATCCTAGTTCGCAGGAGAAAGTTTGAGCAAACTTCAATGCACCGACCTGATTGCCATAATGTGACGCCGATCTCAATGTCATTCGTTCAGTTCATTCGTTCAGCACCACTATCAAGATTTTGAATCTCTCAACGCCTAAAAAATGGTGATGATTAAGAGAATCCTTCTGATAAACCTAGACATCAATTACATTAAGTTGAGACTGGGTTGGTAATTGGAGTAGTAGTAGCAGAACGAGTGAAAAGCAGTCCGAAGGCTGATGTTGCGGCGACTTTGCTTTCTCTAGAGCTCGAAAGTATTTTGTCTTAGACGACCTGATTTCAAAATTTCTGTTTAACTTAATTATTCAGCCATCCGCACTTATACAATGAGCATTATTCAACAATAATGGGTTGATTAGTGTAGAAATAATGGCGGTTTATGCACTGTTGAAATTTGATTGGTTATTGGGATGTATCAAAAATTGAATTGGAGCAAAAGTAAGTCTGAAATCGCAATACTTTGAATTACTTTAAATTAGAGACATTAGTACTGGGTCTGGTTTCTGGAAAAACCCCGCTTGTGCGCAATACCAGGAAAGACGAATGTATAGCTTTTGCTCAGAATTTTGAAAAGCGAATGCTTAGCTTGAGATCTTGTTAAAGTTATATAGTAAGGTCTGAAAGGTTTTACATTTTTTTCAATAATTGAAATTTTTGCTCAAAATATCTGCTTGGGCCTATGTCCTTTAATAACATATATGATTAGCAGTTCCACAGTAGTTTATATAAAGTTGTCTCCTTTAGCATTCAATTTCTGACGACTCCTTACAATAAAAGATGTGGTATGCGCAACACACTTCGATTTCTTAGAATATCACTGATTAGCATATTTTGTAGCTGATATTGGATAATAATCTTGTTCACTTTATGCAGTATCCTGTCCAGCACGGTGCACAGCACATGCTTGTCATGCAAGAACATAATCGATCAAAAATCATTATTTGACCTTCTTTTGCGTGGTATGATCTTATGATATACACAATAATGACAATAATGTAGAGTACTGTGCAAAAACATTTGCTTCAGCCGGGATTTGAACCAGATCTCGCTCTTTCTGGAAGCGTATGCTAAACCGTTGCACCACCAACGCGTCGATGGTGCCAACGGTTGTAAATAATTCATAGAAACCAACAAGGTCAGGACATTTAAACAGAGTCTTCTACTTCTACCAATATGTGAAAAAAGAGGGTGCTGTACTATTATGCCGGCTCCACTTCAGGCCTTCGGTAAACATTGCTGTTATCTGATGTATGTGTGATTATCTGATAACTTAAATCGGTGAATTTTAAAGATATTTTTTGTTTTTCATATTGCTTGTTTTCAACGCCGTACCACTCAAAATGAAATTTCGTTTCATATTTGAAGATTTCTCGCGTGTTAAAGTACTTTGTAACCAAGTTTTAATCATCAGATAGAGCAAATCTTTCTGACTGAGAAAATGTGCTTGCTGCTTGGTATTACAGCTATACCCACATCCTAGCCGACTAAAAGTGCTTACAGAGTGTGAAACCCAATATTCTTTCTATCGTTACGAAGCTCGAAGAAGTCCTTTCGAAAAGCCAAACGTACCATTATTATCGGAAAGATTTTCTCTATTTAATAATTAGAAGTTTATTACAGAAAAAATTTTATTCAGTGACAGACAAATCTTCGAATGAGAATAAAATTTCATTTTGACTGGTAGGGAGCCAAATTTGAGCAGTTAAACATGCCACTACAATTTACTTGATTTGAGTTATCGATAAACTACAGAAACGTTTTGCGAAAGCAAAAAATACGTTTTTACCAAAGGCCTCAAGTGGCACCGCCACAATAGAATAGTGCCTATAAGTGTATAAATTTCTAGTACAACGTTTTATGCAGCACAACATTTTTGTCAAACTGCTTTCTAACTTACAATCTTTGGCAGGCATGATGACTTTGGGGTACTTCATGCGATGAGAGGACATCAAAACAGAAGGGTTTACGTCGCAGTGGTTAATTTCAAAAGTGCGACGTTACTTGTAATTTGTTATAACAATTCATTCAGTAGCGGCTTTGTACAAAGAGTAAATGTTGTTGATACAATGAATGAAACATAAATGTGATTGAAATGCCAAAAGATGTAAATAATATAGCGTAAAAATGTTTGGTAATAGTTCAAAGTATAGCTTTCCATAAGTATATAATGTTTCCTTTGAAAAATGATGGTTTAGAGGAAACAGTGACGTCGTTTTTTGTAGATACTAGGCAATATCCCATTTAATGATGAATAACAGTTGGTGATGCTTGCTTTGTTACAATGCCGCAGTTGTGCGTAATGTATTGGTCTCAAGTTATTTTTTTCCATCGCTGCCTATTTTGACAAATGCTGATCAGAAGTGGAGCAACTTTCCCTCATTTTTTGACTCAAGTGACACATCGGGTTGCAGCGCTAGATATGACTGCGTTGAAAGCACCTTGAGATGTTTCGAACGAAGGCCATCACAGATATTTCGATGTTCATTACGATGATAAGTGGAGACGCGAATTTCGCGGTCCTCTACTGCAAAAGATATCACAGCTACCAAGGAAGAACAGGTAACCTAAAAGAGTTGGCTAACTACTCAGGACGATTTTCTTGTAGCAGTTCAGTGGTTTGCTCAACACGGTCAATGTGTCAAGTTGTAGCAATTCCGTTGGCGCAGTTGCCGCATCCGGTGTGTTCTGTATTTATTTTCGCCAGCCGTTCCTGATCTAGTATTGAAGTCTATCAAAACGACCTTGTAGAAAGACTCTTCACTGCGGATGGCTTCCTCCGTCTTGTGATGAAACGCGTCTAAGTCGCACTTATCAGCTATTAGAGTTGGTGATCAATAGTTGATTATACTGACTCCCTTTTGAAGCAAATGCTGAAGGCATGAAATAGTCCAGGCGCGGTGAAAGGACTCGTGTGAAGTGAGTAGATTGGGAGACATATGGATGAACGACAGTTCATCGCCGTCTTGGTACTAACTAGGCCGCAAGGAAAACAAACCTCTTTCAAATACAAGGAGGCGGTTTGTAATTGTGATAAATGGCAAATCTAGCTAGTCCTTCAGCTGAATCGGCATTCACAGGAGTTTCATAGATTGGCGATAGATTTTACAGAGTTTACGGTGTATACAATCTGTCGTCCGAGAAGCTAACAGAATACAAACAATCATTCTACAGGATATGACCATACTAAAATTGAAATTGAACTTCACCTGCATCATCTGCTACAGAGTGCAATCTGCAAAGAGACTTAAATATCCAAGCAATTTTCATGAATTTCTCGCGGGGTTTACGAAAAGAAAATTCCTCTTAACAAACATCAAAGCCATTGTTAACTTTGCCGGCTCATTCATGTAAGTGATGAACGAGATCTTCTGCTGTACCACTAAGGAAATATTGGAGCTTTAATGAGCTGCGACTGATGTATGCGAAAAAGCGTTCAAGCACTTGGAGCCAGAATGTGAGCAAGTCGATGTTCTGTGCTCTACTTTTTCATCCTATTTCGAGCTTTCGCCTTTTCTATTGACTGGCCGTTTTGGCAGAGTGCCACTGGAGGCCACTCCAGTGGGCAAAAGAATTTTAATGCCCACATTTACCAATTCTGTCTACTTTGAATGTTTGAAAAACGGCAAATACCTTTTAGTATTCAGAAGACTTTCCATGGCGAGTCATGGCATCAAATCTTTACTCTTCAAGCTATGCGAATTTACAACGAACTTGGAGGAAAAGCGGTGTCTAATAAAAAAACCACTCAATTACCTGTCCATACAAAAGTGAACAGAATTTCTCAACTAAAATGAATTTTTTCATATATCGACAACTAAAGCGGCTCAATTCATATGATAACAAACTCCTGATTCTGGAATTATTGCGATATTTGTCGCCTAACTAATTGTAAGGAGACGAATGTCTACCAAATTGTCCATTATTCTTCTCGAGCGCCTTGAATTCAACTGTGGGTTTGTTCCGGGCGGTAAATCATCAAGGAGGTTATCCTGCTTTTCTTGTTTCAATAATTTCGTCTGTAAATGGTGCCTGCCTTGATACGGAGGCAAAGCCATATAACAAGATTTACTTTAATTAGATTAAAACAGAATTATGCGATTAGAGAACAATTTACACAGCACTACAGAACAATCTGCGTGATCTGATGATTCGAAATATTAACACTCATGATTTAAAATAGACATTTTTGCAATACGGTAAGACTTCTGCAACTTCTCTTTGTACTCTGACACCTTCCTCCCATTGCTACAGGAGTTCATATTGAAGCTTAGCAATAAGTCATCTCAAAACGTGTGTGGAAATTACTTCTTCCGAAAATCACGAAAATGTTCCAGTATTTAGCCATTGAAAAGTATCCATATATAGTATTATCATAGATAAGGTCTTGGTGACCAGAGTGGTCACTTTTTCAGATATGTGCAGCTCAAGACATTTCTGAGGGTATCTAGTGGAGACATGTTTTGATTCTTTGTCTATCACTTTATTGTAGACTTTCTTATTGAGATCTTCCCAACTATAGTATGCTTTTATTCTAGGAAGCGCCGCTATTTGTAGAAGCTATGTATAGCTAATAGGAAAGTGCAAAAACCAATAACCGAAAGGCCGGATCATCTAATTAGTGGAAATTTTCAGAGTTTTTGCGAGCACTTACCCGATTCACACCTAAAACTGGCTATCTATAGTTTTTTTGCATCATATCAGGGAAAATTCGTTGACTTGATACAGTATCGCTCTGAAATGCAACGAGGATTGCTTGATGAAATCGTGCGCCGCTAGTGATCAATCGAATGACACGGAAGTATTTCAGTAAAAACTGCTTATTCATCTCTATTCAGCGTTCATAAAAACTTCGCAACAGGGCCGACAATTTCACAGCGCTGACGGTGTTTTCGATTTGTCATCTACGAAACGAACAAAATGGAATGAATTGCGTCCGGATAGGAGAATTCTAATTTATTTTATGGAGATAAGGTTAATTTTCTCAGTACCGATCATAGAAATGAATGGAGTGGAACGGAAGCGTAAATATTTTCGACAATACATTGCTGATCTATGTAGATCTGTCCGGCTTTACTGTTTATATTTAATCTGCTGATATCACACACTGAATGAATCCGATCCTATACGCAGTGCCTTTCCATTGAAAAGCGAAACAAGGTTGAGCGGTGACATCTGAAAAAGAGTGATTTCGCTCATTCCACTTAGTAAGTTAGGTGAAGTCACATCGGATTAGCAACTCGCCTTAGTTAGTTAGTTGAAGAGAGATTTCTCACGTAAAGAGTAAGAAAACAGTGAAAGATTGATCTCTTCTATAAAGTTTCAGAGGAGAGGTGATGCACAGTTCTCCTGATTTTAATATTTTTATTGTGCCTGATGTTCCAATCTGACAAAAAAGTGCCCTTATGCTTTGGACAAAGATACTCGTCCAGAACAGCAAATGAGCTGATCAACTCCGAGGAAATTTTCCAGGTACTATACAGCAACCCGCACATGTGGCGCAGTATTAGAGGCGCACTGCGTTACACACAAGGTCGATGATTCGACATCGCTCTCATGTCTCACTAAGTCTTCCATCACTCCGAAGTAGGTATATTGGTAGCAGACTTGCCTAGGAGGATAAACAACATAAACTCGATAAAGTGGTACGCTATTGCGAACCATTGTGAAGATTAGATATGCACTGAATCACTTCAACGAAGTTCAAAGTTGAAAACGAATGCATGGCTCATTTCTCAGAGAATAATAAAGCTGAGAGCTTTATCCTGTATCCTTTATTCTTTATGCAACAACTCACATAGGTATGTTTTGCAAATACACCAATAGTTTTTCTTTAATGGGCAGTCTCGTAAAATGTTGGAATGTTGTTACTTTTCTTTGTGATGATGTTGACTTTTGTCAGCCTAAACAATTTCACGTGACAAGGGTCAAAAGTTAGCCTAGCAGAGGATGTTAAAAAGTTAATATTACGCGTTTTAAAGGATAAACTAATAGTCAGCGTAGTAACTGATAGTTACTTTATAGCCATGCATGAGGTGTGTCATGGGAACTGTATGGACCGATGCCGTTATACCTACACACGCTATGAAGTGA